AGTTGTATGAGCCCCTAATAAAATGTTTAAAAAATAAATAAATAAAATAAAATAAAATAAAATGTAGGGGAGGATTAAAGTAAAAAAAAAAAAGATACCAATTCATACCAATGAGAATAGCCAGTCATTAAAAAAAAAAAAACAAGTCAGAGAACAACAAATGTTGGTTTGGATTTGGGAAACTGGAACCTTCATACCCAGCTGGTAGTGTAAAATGGCACGTACCCCTTTGAAAAAAGGTTTTCCAGTTCCTTAAAATGCCAAACAGTTACCACATGATCCAGTCATATAACTCCAGCCCTCTACACAGACCCAAGGGAAATGAAAGTATGCAAATACTTGTGTATGAATATTCACAGAAGAGCTATTCGAAATAGGCAGGAACTGTAAATGACCCAATGTCTATCAACCAAGGAGTGGGGAATAAGCTGGCACATCCACGTGGTGGAGTATTATTCAGCCATCAAAAGGAATGCAGCTACTCCTCACCCATCAACAATGGTTAGGTTCCAAAGGCCAGACTGTTATTCAAAAATCGGCTTTAGGCAGAAATGGAGGATAACTACATCATTACACAGCTGCCAAATCACCACTACATCATTACCTAATTGCCAAACCACTGACAATCATGGCCCAGCCAAGTTGACCCATAATCTTAAGCATCACAGCCAGCATTGTTTGCACTTCATACCTCAACGACTGTTACTGTCACATGCATGCTGTTAATATGTAAAAGAGATTTCCTACCACTGTCATCCATGCTAAACAAGATAGAAGATAAGTGGGGAATAAGTAGAATGTCCTAACACATGGTGATGCAACCTTGAAATCATTATGCTTAGCGAAAGAAATGGTACAAGACTGTATCATTCAACTTATGTGAACTATCCAAATTAAGCAAATCTATAGAGACAAAATAGGAGTGTTGGTAATTCAAAGGCAGACTTCTCACCCTCTACATGGGAAATTAAGGAACTCTGGTGGTGCAGTGAGTTACATGTTGGGCTGCTAACCCCAAGGTCAACAGTTCAAACCCACCAGCAGCTCTCTGGGAGAAAGGTGAGTCTCTCTGTTCCTGTAAAAATATTCAACCGAGGAAACGCCGGAGAGCAGTTCTATTGTCCTACAGCAGTGGTTCTCAGCCTTCCTAGTGCCGTGACCCTTAATACAGCTCATGTTGTGATGACCCCCAAACATAAAATTATTTTCGTTGCACTGATGAAACACACAACTTTCCTCTAGCTCTTTGGTGCTTCCTTCCCCCCCTTATCATGACCTCAGTTCTACCTTACAAATCAGATTAGACCAGAACATGCACACTGCTACAGATAAGAGCCCTCAACTCAGGGAATCCAGGATAGATAAACCCCTCAAGGCCACCAAGGAGAGTAGAGATACAATGAGAATTAGAGGAGGGTGGGGGAAGAAAGGGGGAATCGATCACAAGGATTAATTTATAACCCCCTCCCTGGGACGACAGAGGACGATGTAAGATATGGAAAAAAGTAATCTATAACTTATCAAGGGTTCGTTAGGGAGGGTGGGTGGTGGAGGGAGGGGGGAGAAATGGGGAGCTGATATCAGGGGCTCAAGTGGGAAGAGAATGCTTTGAAAATGATGATGGTGGCATATGTGCAAATGTGCTTGACATGTTGGAAGAATGTATGGATTGTGAAAAGAGATGTAAGAGCCCCCAATGAAAGTTTTTTTTTAAATTATTTTCATTGCTACTTCATCACTGTGATTTTGCTACTGTTATGAATCTGGTGACCCCTGTGAAAGGGTCGTCTGACCCCCCCTCCCCCAAAGGGGTTGCGACCCACAGATTGAGAACCGCTGTCCTCTAGGGCCTCCATGAATCAGAACTGACTTGACAGCAGTGAGAGTTTACATGGGGATTAGGTTCAACCCCCAAACACTGTACCTCACTGCTCTGCCACCGTCAGGCTACAACACACGAGGAAGAGAGGCCTGGCAATCTACTCCACAAAATCAGCCAATGAAAACCTTGTGGCTCAGGAGGAATCTACTGCTTTCACTGACGGCAGTCAGGGTTGACTCAGTGGCAGTCATCGACAGCGTTTTTAGGGAGTCCCTGGGTGGTACCAACAGTTGACGTGCTTGGCTGCCAACAGAAAGGATGGAGGTTCAAGTTCACTTGAACGCACCTTAGAAGAAAGGCCTGGTAATATTTTTTCCAAAAAGTGGCCATTGGAAAACGAATTTCATTCAACTCGACAGCACCTACACGTGGTAGTGTTGGCTAGAGTTGCTGTGCTCCGGGAGCCGTGCTAAGGGTTCTACCTGAACCTCACCTCTCTTCATCCTCCTCATTCTGCCGGGTACGCACATGTTACCTCGGGTTTCCACGGAGGCGACCTGTGGTGGGTCTAGTCCTGCACTGGAAGCACACTCACGGGCATGGTTATCTCTTGTCCTCGATGATTTACTGCTGTTGTCTCCACAACAGAGGGGGCGGGGGGAGGGGAGGAGGCTTGATGCATTGAATGCAGTGCTTCAGTTTCTGCGGAGCTTTGTTGTCTACTTTGGTCTCAGAACAGGACTGTGAAGTAGGCAGCAGTATCTCATTTTGAAGAAACCGAAACATCAGAGAAAGGTCGCACACCGTCACGGACGGCGCTGGTTGGCCCGTGTCGGACGATTTTTGGGGTTTTGCGCTTGACCATGAAACATCCAAACAGCAGGCAGTTGGGTGACCTCATCCAGGACACCGAGCCTCAGTTGGTGGAGAGGGTGCCAACAGGTGCTCCTTCTCCTGATTTGTACTCTAGGCTTTGGTCGGTGATGCTTTCTTCTGTGCGTGTGTCCTTCTATCCACGTCTTACCTCCTGACTGCTGCACAGCACCCATGGTAGTTATCAGTGGCTTGTTTCCTTAAGGTTTGACGTGAAGTGTTTTCTCCCGAGTGCAGAGTTCATGGGCATAGAGAACTTTTCCCACTATGGTATCCCAGCGCAGTGTGGCACAGAGTAGGCCCTTTGCCTGTGAACTTCCTGCATCAATAGGCACATAGGAAAGGAATGGAGAGTCCAAGAGTCTGAAGCACCGAGATTACTACAGCAATTTGGTAGCAATTCCAGGATTAGATTTGAGTTCTGTTTCTCGATCTTCATGCCCAGAATCCGTTCTAAAGCACTGTGCTGCTGGCCAAGGACCTATCACAGGATTGGGGCCACAGGATCTTGCTGTGTGGCCTTAGGCAAGTCCCGGGGGTTCCCCTTGGGTAAACAAAAGGATTCAACAGCTGTCTTTTTTATTCCTTTCCTTTCTATCTTTGACTGTCAAGCAGTGATGTCCTCACGCTGCCCCCACCCCCACCCCAGGGAAGTGTCTCCTGAGAACCAGGGATGCCCCACACTCCCTGCCAAACCAGAACTAGGAGCCCTGCTTCCTCCTGCGTGACCACGTCCTGTTGGTGGTGACGTGGTGGTCCTGGCATACGAGTCCAGGCAAAAGCAGGGTTTGGCTTCCAAAGGAAAAAAGCAATTGGGGCAGGTAACTTCTTCAACCTCCTTTTCAGCCTGAAGGCCAGTGCCGAAACCTGTCCACATGGGTGGCCCTGGAATACCAGTGGCGTATCAGCTCCCAGCACATCCCACCCAAGCCACCAGACTATGCCCAAGTCACCTGCCTTTTCTGTCTGTCTGTCTGTCTCTCTCTCCCTTTGTCCTCATCTGTCAAACAAGTATCATAACAGTACCTACCTCTTAGGACTATCATAAGGATGAAATATTTCTCAAGGTTGACAGGTGCCTGACACCTAAGAAAGGTTGTTATGTAGGAGTGCGGTTATACCACAAGTGGTTTGCGCGTAGCTGCTGATCGAAAGACTGGCACTGTGAACCCATCCGGCAGGGCCGGGGCAGAAAGGGCTGGCAACCTTGCATGATACTCTAAAGGTTGTAGCCTGCTACGATCACAGCCAAAGGAACGCTTGAAGTCGTTCTACTCTGTAGCACCGGGGGTCCCCACGAGTCAGGACCAACGCGATGCCGTGGGGGAAGTTATGCGAGGGTAAGCTCACAAAATGCTGTTTTAAGGACGGTGGCAAAAATCATAGACATCTTTATGAGACAAAAAATATCAAACTGTACAGCGATTGTCTCTTGACATATACTCCATCCGGGTCTATACACTACTCTCCTCACCATTCCTGGAGGTACTGCAATACCAGGTCGACGCGTGTAATGAGCGGAGCAAGTTCCTGCTCCACTTCCCTGCTCCAAAAAGCCATTTACTATAGCGTCCTCGGGTAGAGGGCATATCAGGTATTAACCCGATCAGAACGGACACTACACTTGATCTCAGCCAAAAGGCCGAGACGCGACTGGGCCTGCGCCCTTCTGCGGCAGTGCTTCCAGTGCTCTGACCCTCCGTGCTCTTCGACTGGCCCCACATCGGACAGCAGTGTGGGCACGCTCAAAGGACCCCAATCCACTCCTCGAACAAATGTTCCCTGAGTTTGGGGAACAAAAAGAAGTAGGAAAGGGTGAGCTCTGGGGTGTCGAGAGGATGGGGTAGGGTGGTTTCCGAATGAAAGCCTCCTAAGACAGCCTGGCCACCCTCAAAGGAGCAATTCCTCAGCCCAACTCTACTGGCCTTTTTCAAATCCCACGCTGTTTTCCATGTTCTGAAAACCTCTTCATGATCAGGCCCCAGGCTCACCCCGTGTCCTTCAAGGATATCCATCAGGATGACCCCTCTGGAGTCCCCAAAACCAGTGGCCACCACCTTCCAAGCTGACCTCTTGACCCAGACACCACTTGGACTTTGATTTTTTGTTCTGTAGGCACCCAGAGGAGACCATGGCACGTGTACTGCTGGGGACCCTTGCCTGCAGCCACTCGGGATCACAGACCTGTTGAAACACCTTTTGCTTGGGATCAACCCACATGCATGTAGGAAGTGGAACCCAGGTAGCAATGCTTTTTAACTTATCCTCGTGTGTGTGTGTGTGTGTGTGTGTGTGTGTG